ATATTCGCCAGACATGCCTCTGTCTGACTTTTTCCTATTCCCAAAAATAAAGAGAACCTTAAGGGGCCGTCGTTTTGCAAGCAAGCACATTAAAAGCGCATCGCTGAAAGAACTAAAGGCTATCCCAAAGATCGAGTATTAGTGTTTCGATTATTGAAAGAAGAGCTGGCACATGTGCATAATATCCAATGGGGACTATTTTGAAGGCGACAACATTAATGTAGACGAATAAATAATTTGTTTCAAAAAACGAAAATTCCCGATATTTTCTGAACACACCTCGTATGTATAATATTTTAGTGCGTATGATTACATAATATTTTTTCTTTTAAACATGTATTTTTAAAACAAAGCAACAACGTAAAGTATGTTTTTAATTAATAAAAATATGTTTAATAGAAAATATGTTATGCTTCCCTGACGACATATGAGCGGATCTATACTTTTTTTTTAATTATAGCGAAACAGTATAAAATGTTTAAATTGGTATATATTCTTGATAACAAATTAAAATAGATAAATGTGATAAAATACAAATAACTCGGCTTATTTATAAAAGAAAAACTTCCCGGAATAGATAATAACTGGGTGTTCCCGTTCATCCCCACATTATTATCAAAGCAATACATCGGTGGATTTTAAAACCCCAGCAATAAAATTCCCCAAGTACCTAATACTAACAAACGCAAGCTTAAGAAAGACTTCGTTATCATTTCCTGAAAAAATGTTAATATTTTAGTTTAGGTAGGAAGGTACCTACTTTTTTAAGTAACTCAAATTTCCTACAAAACATTTTTTATACCCCTAGACAAGTTTTTACTTAAGGGGATTATAAATTAATTTACCTAATTAGTCTTTGTTGTCTTTTTATTTTGAATGTAAATAAACTATTTATTATTATTATTATATCTTTATCTACCGAATACTGTACATAAAACATTAAAAAACAAGTCCACATCTTTCAATAAAGCATCTAAATTAAAACATTGGCTTTGCGAGAAAAATTTAGGTTTAAATCATAAAATCATAAATTCTATTTAAGTTTAAATAACGTTTTAACCCACAGACCACCTGTGGTCTGTGTTTTTACCAATGTAATTAGTGACCACAATTGTGGTTTAAACCAAACGTGAAAGGATTATTCTTCAAAACACCTTAATAATTTTAAGCCGATTTTTGCTGGATCATTTTCTTACCTTGCACCAGCAAAATTACCCTAAAAATTACCTACGATCATATGTATCTGTACATTTCCTGTATTTTGAAGTTTTAAATTTTCGGATTAATTTGAATATATATTCTAAACAAGATTACTACTGAGTTGAATATGTCTAAATCGATCATTTTATGTTGTAGTTTCGAACTGTGATATTGTGAATTAAGTGAAGTTCAATGTGTATTTATGAGAGTATATAAAATTCAACAAAATTTAAATTAGGTAACCTATAAATATACCATTAAAGCAGAAATACAAATATTAATTACGTTATTAGTTATTATCTCTAAAAATGAATTAGTCTAAAATGTTAGTCATCAATCAAAGCGAAAAAGCAGCCACTAATAATTCTCGTCAATACCAATTTGTATTTAGCAGTCAATTTCCATGTAAAATTGTCCCCTGAATCCGAAAATGGCGTCAAAAATTATAAATGTAGAACAGTTTTTGAGATATAGTCAATTTTTCATAAAATATGGAATTGACTATATCCCAAAAACTGCTCTACTTTCATAATTTTTGACGGTATTTTCGGATTCAGGGGATAATTTTACATTATAATTGGCTATTAAATGTTGGGGATACCTTGGTATCCATGCGTAACCAAACCAAAAGCAGCCACTAATAACTGTAGTAATTATAATTACATTTTTAACTAATTCATAAGAGAGAGTAGACTAGTCCTTCGTGCGTTTACAAGCTAATTTATTTAGTGTAAAATTAATTTATATTGCGTCACGAATTTTAAGATTTATTAAAAAATAGCACATTATAGACCAGGCGGAGAAGGCACATATTATTAGGTTTTAAATAATAAGCATTTAAGTATAGTATATATATTGTAAAACGAGTGGCAATGACCCTTATTATGATGCCGAGTTATTTAAATAATACGACTATCACAATAAGTCATTGTAACACGAGTTTTTCATACTATTTTGTCTATTTCGACAATAAAATTAAATAAATCTTAATAAAACTAGTAGTATAATTCATGTTACCAGGTTGGCACAATTGACGTGAAGCAAAATTAAATATTTTTTCTACTCCCACCTTTAAAACGCCCTTTATCGTACATGTTTCCATGACATTAAGTGAGCTTTTAAATACACATTGACAAGTTCTGGCTTTACGGCGCTTTAGTCACGGGCTGAAGTTAGCAACAGGTTTTTAGTCACGGGCTGAAGTTAGTTTTAAGTTAATTGACAGTTGTCAAATGTCATACAATCGTTAAAATAAAGTGCCTTTCTTGTAAAATAATACTAAATGTGAAAATTATTTTATTATCTCAATACAAAAATACAAAAATATTAAATAGTTTCTCAACGCCAATATTTGAAAAGTTTATTTCGCCGGCAGTAAACTATAACTTAAATTCGGGCACGGACTCTACTGTAAAGTCCTCATAAAACATTTCGTTTACTTTCACTGTGGAAAACTGTCAATTTTCAAGATACATTTCGATTTATAACCTTTATAATTGTGTTCATAAAATGTAAAAATGTGACATTTGACAGTTTCCCCTGTTGTTTCATAGATGGCGCTCTATACAAATTTTTGATTTAAATCATTTTAAGATTATTATCATTATAAGTAGTTGTCGTAGAAAAAGTATAGTATGCACCTCGTTTATAAACTTTTCTATACTCTCATTATCTTAAGCACTCGCTCGCAAGCTCGCTCGTGCCTAAATTAAATTCGTGTATAAAATGGCGTTTATCAAACTTGATACATAATATACTATTATTATCTCAATACAAAAATACAAAAGTATTAAATAGTTTCTCAACGCCAATATTTGAAAAGTTTATATGAACATTGTACTGACCTTTTAATTTCGCCGGCAGTAAACTTAAATTCGGGCACGGACTCCACTGTAAAGTGCTCATAAAACATTTTCTTTACTTTCACTGTGAAAAACTGTTAATTTTCAAGAAATACACACAGATTCCCCCATTGTTTCATAGATGGCGCTCTATACACATTTTTGATTTAAATCATTTTAAGATAATAAGTATTTGTCGTAGAAAAAGTATAGTATGCACCTCGTAATCGCTTGTGCCTAAATTAAATTCGTGTATAAAATGGCGTTTATTAAACTTGATACATAATATACTATAATGTTAGTCAAAATAAAACGTCAAATTTTGTTTTGTCTATTTTAATGCTTCTAAGAGCTAGTCTAGCTGTGTCTAAGTTTACATTTACTTCTAATGATTTTATTCACATTTTATAATATAATTTTAATCACAATCCACATAACAAGGTCTGTTCTATCACGTTTCGCGCATACTAAAAAAAATCACTATACAGACTCTAACGTCGGCCATTTGTATGTTGTTTACAATTCTTGTGCTTTGGGTTTGTGCTGTTTATACAGATTAAAAATCGTTTTAAACGTCGTGTTTTTACAGAGGCACTCATAAACCTCAAATGAGGCCTTACTCCTAAGAACAACCATTTTACTCCTCTTTTGTAAAAAATAAAGCTTTTTTTATCAGGGCTGTAATCAAACTGTCAAATGTCAATTGTAAGGTTAATTTATCATAACCCACAAATTGACCATACCCACAAATTAACCTTAAAATTTACATTTGACATCCTTGATGAATAAGGTTTTTTTTACAAAAGAGGAGTAAAATTGTTGCCCTTAGCACTTTAAGGCCTCTTTTAAGACTTACAAGTGCCTTTGTAATAAAGACAACGTTTAAAACGATTAATCTGTATAAACAGTACAATCCCAAAGCACAAGAATTGTAAACAACATAAAAATGGCCGCCGTTAGAGAACAGACCTGGTTGTGTAGATTGTAATTTTAATAAACAAAACCAGAAAAACGAGTTTTTAAAACATAGTTGACATTAAAATTAAAATGGTTGCCAACAGTCTGAAAAAAAATCCCTAATTTCGATGATTCTATTAGGAGCCTTCTAATCAACAATACTTGGGTAACGTCAAATTCACAATTTGCATTGTTTTACTGTTTTATTTTTTTAATTAAGGTAAATTCTCGCAAAATGTACTTTATTTTTTTGACAGAATTTGGCAACCCTAGTTTCAACTGACATTTTAGCTTTATTTCTATGCGGAGTTTAATAATAATTTTACTTTTGAACAAGTATTAATATAAAGTCTTTCTATATAGCGGCCATTCCACGGGTAATGGATGGGACAGTTGCAAGTTTTTATTTACAAAATAACATTGTTCTATTAAATTACTAATGTCAAATTTTATAAATAGTTCTAAACAAAAGCTGTTTAACAAGGTTTTTATTTGGCAAAATTAGGTATCGTGGTTGACTGTTTAATTTCTTAAAAATTAATTTTTTTCTTCAAAAACCCTACGAGTACTGTTTTTGAATAAACAAAATAATTTTTAAGGAATTAAACAACCACGATACCTAATTTTGACAAATAAAAACCTTGTTAAACAACTTTTGTTTATAACTATTTATAAAAATTTGACATTAGTAATATAATAGAACAATATTATTTTGTAAATAAAAACTTGGAACTGTCCCATCCGTTACGCGTGGAATGGCCGATAGACTTATCAGTGTTATAATATGAAAATTCATGTAGGCTTACAAAAATAATATTTGACACCATCTTTTTTATCATTTTAACAATGTTCGATTTTTAATAATAACTAAGAAAAAATAAAACAAAGCATGAAAAAACTACAAATGAATACATTTTTGGGCAAAAATTAAAATTAACATTTTCTCAACATTTTAAGCCTTTAAAGTTTTTCACAAATAAACTGATACATGTTTTTTTTTAGATAAAATGTGGATTTTTAATTGGCTGCTACTCCTTTTCGGTATACCGTTCATCCTAACGAACAAAAGATGCGAAAGAAGCAGTGGTTGTACTTGTTACAACGGTAACGATTTGGAGTACCAGTGCCCATCAGAAAACGACCTCAATGTTTTGCTGCGGTACTCCACCAACCCAGCAAGGGTTGTTGTCGATGGCCACAAAGCCCTTCCGTTTCTGGAAGAAGAAAACCTACCCAAAGTGAGCTTAGGGAAAGTTGAAAGTGTTAAAATAAGTTACTGCGGACTTCCCCGAAAAAGTTACAAAACGCTTTTCGACAGAGTGAACATTACAGAAACAAAGACTTTGATTATAGACAATATAGTACCAAATGGCGAACATGCGGTTTTAAGTAGCGCTCTTTTTGAAGACCTCGAATATTTGGAATATTTGCGAATTTCCAACAATGAGAATATTATCGTAGAAGACAATTTTTTAACCAAAGTACCTAAACTACTTGAACTCAACTTGTACAATAGCAATATGGCTGTAAACGTATCGGCATTGCCTAATCTAAGAATGTTGGACATGAGCAAAACCAAAATGCAAGATATCCCGTCAGGAAATTTCGTTAATTTAAAACAACTGAAGCAGCTATATTTATTTAGCAACAATATTAAAACTTTAAACCAAAACTCTTTTAAAGGCGCTGATAACGTCGAAATGATTGAATTGCTGAATAATAAGATTACGCAAATTGAAGATGGGACTTTTAAACATATGCATCATCTTTACAATATAAGTTTGATTAACAATAACATTACATCGATTTCTGAAAATACATTCCAAAGTCACAAAAGTTTGTACTCTATTAGATTGGCCTATAATAAATACCTGAGATTACTTGATAGAGCCTTTTTCAGTATGAACAACCTGACGTTATTAAGACTGGATTACTGTAATTTAAAGGATCTTCCAGATAACACATTTGAGGGATCGACCAATTTAAAAGAAATACAACTGCAAAGTAACCAACTTGAAACTATACCACTAAGGTGTTTTAGTGGTTTAGAAAAATTAAAAAAATTAAATCTTGGTTTCAACAAGCTTAAAGACCTACCAAATGGAATTTTCGAATCGTTAAACTCCCTGGAAGAATTAAATTTAGAAAACAATGCTTTAACTAAGATTAGTCTAGATTTGTTTAAAAATCAAAACAGGCTGTATTCTCTTAATTTAAGGAATAATTTACTTTCTTCCATCGACAAATTTGCCTTTACGACTTTAACCAATGTAAAAGAATTGGATTTATCCTATAATAAATTACTGTTAGAAATTGATCCTCAGTTTTATATAGGAGTGTTTTCTAATTTTAAGGATTTAGTTTCATTGAATTTAAGCCACAATCTCATGGAATCTATGGACAACATTCCTCCGTCAGTACATCTTAAAACAATTGATATGTCATACAACAACATTAAGGAATTATCAGTAAGTTTCTTGAATTTTGTCGTAATTGACCTTAACTAAGAGTTGTTTTTTATTTTTAGCTCCAAAACCTTCAGAACCAAGTGTTTTCCAACAAAGTCAACTTCGATTTTTCCAACAACAACATTACAACAATCGATTCAAAGTTGGTCGATATAGCTATTACCGAAAATCCCGATTGGAGGATCGACATAAATCTATCGAACAACCCGATTGATTGTAGTTGCGAAAACTACGAGTTTCTCAAGAGCTTTCCCGAAATCCAATACGCTGGAAATAATTTCAACTTTATCGACTACGATAAGTTGAAGTGCAACGATATTGATTTTAAGTTTATTGATATACCATTCTCCAAAAAATTTATAGTTTGTCCAATGGAATCTGTTGGGAAGACTGTTTACAATTGTTCCGAAGAATGCGAATGCTTTTTTAAGCCTTATAACTCAAGTTTTATTATGAATTGTTTTAATAAAAGCTTGACGGAAGTTCCTAAATTTAAAGCTCCTGAAAAAGTGAGAGTTTTAAACACAAACTATAAGATTGAAAACGTCATTGTGAAATTGGAACACAACAATTTGGAAGAAAGTCCCCCAAAAAATTACGGTTATGAAAACATTACAGAGATTTATTTGGATAACAATTCTATCCGGAATATATCATGGATTCCCTCTAAACTAAAGGTAAATATTTTTAATCCCTTGTAAATGTTATAAAAATTAATACATTATGTGTGGTTTTAGGTATTACATCTAGATAACAATTATTTAAATTCATTGAGTAGCAATTTTATAGAACTACTTAACACATCCATAATTGAAAGTTTAACGCTTGATGAAAACCCTTGGACATGCGATTGTACGACTGTTCAATTGCAAAATTACTTATTGGCCAACCCCAAAAAGGTAATATTAGATAAAAAAAATACAAAAACGTATTCTAATATAGCTTTTTTCATTTTAGATCGAGACAAATAACATACGTTGCAAAAATTCTGGATTTCAAATAATACAACATCGCAGCTTATGCAAATCACAAACGGTTACAGTTTTGGCTACAAGTATTACTTTAGTGGTGTTGTTACTTATAGCCGCTTGTTTAGCAGCCAGCTATTACAAATGGCAAGAACCAATCAAAGTGTGGCTTTACAGCAAAAATCTCTTCTTGTGGTTCGTTACTGAAGAAGAACTCGACAAGGGCAAAATATACGATGTATTTCTAAGTTTCTCTTCTAAGGATGATGATTTTGTTTTAAAAAGCCTACTCCCAGCTCTGGAATCAGAGCCAAATCCTTTCAAAGTGTGCGTTCATTACAGAGATTGGATCCCAGGTGAGCACATCACCACGCAAATCATCAACTCCGTCACCGATTCAAGAAGAACGCTAGTAGTGCTATCAAGCAATTTCCTGGAAAGTAACTGGGCGAAAAATGAGTTCCGCATGGCTCATACTCAAGCCCTTAACGATGGAAGGGCAAGAGTAATCGTTGTTATTCTTGGGGACATCGAGATTGCCAAGTTGGATGACGAATTGAAAGCCTACCTCAGAACTAACACATACGTTAAATGGGGTGACCCGTGGTTTTGGCAGAAACTTTCTTACGCTCTTCCGCATCACAAAGCTCAAAAAAATAAGTTTAGTCAAAAGCATGCAAATATTATGCTAAAAATCGATCAGAAGTTTGACATGGTGAAGACTATGCCTCAGTCCACACCACCTATTTTAACACTTGATACAAACATATTACCAAGTTATCCGCTAAGTTTTGTTTCTGATAAAATTAAAGACTCTTGTCCGGTAGAAACTAATGAGAATTGTTTGATTATAAAAAGGTAATTGTGATATTTTATTCTTAGTTTACGAATGACTATCAATTAAAGACAATATTGCTATTGCTTTTGCAATTAAAATAAATTGACAATGATATTATAAATTGGCATCTATAAGAATATATTTGTAAATAGTTTTATATTTTTATTAAGAAATGTTTTTTTAATTTTTACATATAGGTTTATTGTTGTAAATACAAAATATTTTTGTGCAAATTTTATAGTTTAATTGAACCTCAGTGTAAATAAGATTTATCGTATAAATGTAAAGTATAAAATTTACTGTGCTTTTATTTCCAATGACTTCTTAATGCCTTATTTAAGATACAGAATTTTTCATTTCAAATCGTCCAAGTAAAAATGTGTTTTTAATCAAATAATAAAATAAAAAAAAATTTAACTAAATAATAAGACATTTTTTTGATCAGATAAAACTTTATAAAAAATAATACAAAATTAAACCTAATGTTTTAAAAACGTTGACGTCGCACAGAGTGGTATTTGAGCTATCTAGCTGGCTAAAATTATTTTAATTAGTATTCACCTTTATAATGTGTTTAAAATATCTTCTAAGCTAAATATATGTAGAGTTTGTGAGGTCACCTCCGAGGGGTAAACCACTTTAAAATCTTAGAGACCAACGTTCAATGTTAGTGAACGTTGTGTTGAGATTTTTTTCCTTATCAGTCGTTATCAATAAGGAAAACTTGCTTAATCAGTGCTTAGCGACGCGTTGTACATGACTACTAGGGATGGGATTTTAGTTATTTTACCTTTTTTCAACCGATGTAACTATTTGAAAACCAATAATGCCAAAATGTGTTTTAAAAGATTTTCTTTTATATGAACCTAACTTGTTTTCACCTTTTTTACCTTTTTTGGAGGTTTTTGCTTTAAACTACCTTTTTTATACTTTTGTTACCTATTTTTTTAACTTGTTTTCACCTTTTTTACCTTTTTTGGAAGTTTTTGCTTTAAACTACCTTTTTATACTTTTGTTACATATTTTTTAATTTGTCAGTTTATTTTCACCTATTTGTTATCTATTATTACGTATTTTTACTTATTTTATTTTTTTGTGTTCTTTTTAAATTTTGCCCCAATATTTTATCCAGGGCGTGCAACTCAACGGTATATTTTTTTTTCTTATGGTCACAGACTGTAACAGTAACTTTCTTTACAATTACCTTCTTTGTAGTGAGCTTATGTTCTGTCATAGAACTTCTATGTAGTGAGTGTCACTCAGTGAAACACAGTTTATTGCATAGAAATAATTTATTGTGGGTATGTTCTGTGTTTGGGTATGCGGCTAAACAAAATTATAAACGAAACGTGAACTTTTAATGTGTTTTTTTACCTAAAATGCTGTTTTTTTAACCTAAAATGTTTTTTTTTAGTACCTTTTTAGTTACCTATTTTTCAGTTTTTAGTACCTAAATATCCCATCCCTAATGACTACCCTTGTTGTTGTTATCCTTAGAAGCCATTTTTAATTTTAAAAAATCAGTGGTTTACCCCTCGGTCACCTCCCCCTTTCAATAAATATTTGAAGTGCCAACGGGCATCAATATTGTAAAAATCCAGGTAGTAAAAAAAATTAAAATCAAAGTTGGCCAATAAATTTGAAATTTAGTACATGGATCTATAATTAAAAATAATATTTTGTCGTATATTCCATATGAAAACTACTTAACGTACACAAAAAATAGTAAAAAAAAAAATAAAAATTTAAGTTGGATAAGAATGTTTAAATTTGGTTTAGGGGCCTAATTATTAATTCTAAACAACTTGTTTTAATAATATTTCAAAATTATGTTGAAAATTAATCTTTTATCAAGCAGGGCTGAACCCCCGAAAATAAAAATTGAATTCCATTTTTTTTTTTGGAATTTACAGGAGTCATTTTACCTATCCGGGGAGACACACTATATATACAATAAAATCGACAAATATTCACAAATTACAATAACACAATCTATAATAATAATTTTATTACTTTTGTTTCCTACCATACGAAAAGTGAAATATTTTTTAAACGAGGACAAGATGGGATAAGTTATTAATTAATTTGAGTAGCAGAATATTGGTGCTATTAAATTAAAATATCTAGTGGTATTCGCATATGTTAAAAATGCTTAAAATTAAACAGCTAAAAATTAGTTTTTAAATAACGCCAATAAAACTATTATTAAATATGATAAATATAAAAATTAATATCAGCGTAATGGAAAAAATCTGGTTCATCCGTAAAAATCACTAAAACCACACTTGTCAGAATAAGAGGCAACAAAAAAAGGTTCTGACAATAGCTTTGTCACTGGGATTACATATATCATATATGTTTACTAAACACCTTACTGTTTGAGATGCTTATACTTACTATATTGTGTACGACCATTATACCGTATAATTTATAAGCAAAAATTTAATTCTGTAATTTTTTTTATTTTGTATTCTTTATGAATAGGTACGTCTGTAAATATATTTCTTAATGTTATTGTCAAACGCGAGGGGTAAATCACTTTAAAATAAGCGAGACCAACGTTCAACGTTATGTGGACGTTGTGTTCTGATTTTTTCCTTATCAGTTGTTATCAATAAGAAAAAATCCTTATCAATAAGAAAATTCTCTTAGCGACGCGTTGCGCATGACTCCCCCTGTGATTGTTATCCTTGGCCGTTAATTTGTATGCGATTTTTAATTCTGCTTAGACTTAGTTTCTCTCCAAGAAGAAATTTTTTTAATAACTTTTAACGATCAAATAACGCGTCAGTAAGTAAATTCCCAGCAACCAGTAAACACAAAAATAAAAAAGAATTGTTTAAAAATTACCTGGCCTTTAGTTTAACTTTACCTAGGCATAAAATCCCAACTTTATTTTTATAAGGTGGTATTAAATATGAAGGTAGTAAAACATAATCTATAAGTAGTTTAATGATCAACCGTATCTTTAAGGAATTTAAGTTATATCTAAAATCTTTATTTGTAAAAAACGGGTTTTATTCTGTAAACGAGTATTTTGAGTATCAATTTTAATGTTTTAATTATATATTTACCTATATTATGTAAGTTTGTACTTTTTAATGATTTTGTGATTAGTCGATCTTTTCTTTCTACTTTTTCTTTTTTTGACGTTGTTAACAATTTGTATTGTATTAGCACTAATAAAGATTACTATTGTTATTATTATTATTTTGCAAATATAAATTTTTATTAAAATAACAAAAAAAATATCTTTATTTAAATCGTGTTTTTACATTAGCAAAATAAATAAACAATAATTTTTTATGATTTTTACAATATTGTGGTTTAAATTACAATCGTTTTTTTATTATGTATACGTAATAAAAAAATTAACGATTGTAATTTAAAATACCCACCCGGTTTTCTACAGTATTCTTTCGTTAAAAACGCCCAGTATTGTACATGGTTCCATGTCACTAAATGATCTTTTAAATAAACATTGACAAATTGTGGCTTTATGGCGTTTTAGTCACAGGCTGAATTTAGCAATAGGTTTTTAGTCACGGGCTGAAGTTTGTTTTTTAAGTTAGTAGACATTTGTGAAATGTGAAAATTATTTTATTATCTCAATACAAAAGTATTAAATAGTTTCTCAATATTTCGTACTGACCTTCCCAAGTAGCACAACTGGTTAAATTAACGTTAAATTTACGTTCTGTCTGGTTAATTTACTTAAGTTATATTGTACTAAATATTAACTTTTTTTAACCGACAGGTATATTAACCAAGAAGTTAAATTTACTTAACATAACGTTAATTTAACGTTATAGCTATAACGTTAAATTAACGTTATGTTAAGTAAATTTAACTTCTTGGTTAATATACCTGTCGGTTAAAAAAAGTTAATATTTGGTAAATTTTGGTTAATTTTACCCTTCTTTGACTGCTTTTTAACTCTTTATAAAGCAAACGAAAAATTATAGAAGTGTATAGGATGACTCCGCGTTTGAATATCAAATCTTAAAGTTTTATCATAACTGTATTGAATCGTGCTTTGTTTTTATATTTTTCGGCTCTATACCTATGCACGACTATATTTAAAGTCAAACTCAATGGTGTCTTACAAGATACATTATTTTGATTTTCTATATTCAACAGAGGAGTAGAAACTCGACCCTGTCGAATGGTGCAGTCATTTATGTCTCTAGAAATTATTAAAAAAGGGTTCAGTCCAATGGTGCAGCAACTTCGGATTCCTATTCTCCTCAGAGACATAGAAATTCAAGCTTTTCGAATTTTACTGGCAATGATTTTCGTTAATGTCCCCGAGAATTATACAAAAACAGCGCAATGCAATATCGCAACGGTTTCGACTTCTCTTTACTCTACCAAGTTATAGAAACTGGAGTCTCTCTAATACTGTTCTAGTCAATATTTCTGAGAGTATAAAAAGAGGGTGTAATATAGCAAGAAGTTTTGATCTTTTGATGGATGCAAGTAGTTTGAATTTTCTCATTTCTGCATATGATTTTGTTGAAAATAGTTCCTTTCTTTGGTTCCTTTGTCTGATTTTTATTTACCGTAACAACTTAGGTATCTAAAGCACAGAGGATATGATGTTAAGTATATTTATGTATTATATAAAGTACCTATATTTGTATTAAAAATTTCAGAGGTTATGTTGAAAAAATTATCGATATGCTATTAAACTTTAATAATTTAGTAATTAGGTCTGTTGGTAGACCCTGCACTATCTCCACTGGTATATGTTAGTTTTGTAATATTTAAATCTGGTTGATGAAAAAGTACACACCAGTGCAGGTTATTGTAGCATCTACGAACAAATGAATTAATGGCCCATTGGCAATTATTCCTTTAGGAAAAATATTCAACACAGCTTAATTAATTAATAAAATGAAAAAAATCACAATCATGTCGTATATAGTTTTTTTTAAGCATAAAATAATTTTTATATTAATACTAGTTCAAAAGTGAAATTACGACCTCTATACTGTGGAGAGTATTGAAACGCTCGACTGACGAATACAACTCTATACCGTAGGGAGATTTAGAAAACGATATTCAAACGTGGCGTCATCCTATACACCTCTATAATTTTCCGTTTGCTGTGTAGTCAACTTAAACTAAAGTGAATAAACCAACCATTTTAAGTTTATTTTAACTTAATATAATTATAATTTACCAAGTAGGTATATTATACTACACCACCTTGATCTATGAGTCTTAAGATTTTAAATAAAATGTCTCCCCTGAATATTAATATCTTCATTTTAATATTTAAAAGATGTAGTTCTAGGAGAAAAACCAATGGGGCATTTTTTTCTGATTAAATGGCTCATAATACTTTTATATTTTAAACGCGCTCGAAAAAGAATAAGAAATAAAGAAAATAAAAATTAAAAAAAAATATTTTTTTTGCTTATTTAGTTTTTATTTTATTTTAAATTAATTTAAAATACTTTCAAACATAAAATAATACTATTTTTTTATTATTGGTTTATTTATATTACCTTATTTTTGAAATAAAAATTACAAATAAAAATTAATGGCATTTACTTTTGTAAAATGAACAGCAAGCAATATGGCGATTATAGGATGCTTTTACTAATTGGATATTTAACCAATATAAATTAGTTAACCTGCAAGTTTATTTAAACCATTTAGTTATTTCCTTGTGTTTAACTACTTTATTTACCCATCAGTAATTTATAACTCTTTGGTTTTGGTTTCAATTTGGTTACATTTAACACATTATAGTTAATATTTTCTTTATAACACTATAATAAGAACACAGAAATGATTAAATTAAGAAATAAAACCCAAGAATAAGCACACAAAACACAAAGCCAACTGGTATTATTTTTCTATGTAGGTAACAATGAAAACTGCAAAACCATCACTTTTTTAACGAGTTGGTTGATTAACGTTAATTTACCATTTAGTTAAAATACATTTGGTAAAATGCAACTTGTTGGTTAAAAAATATACTTAAATTAACCAAAACTGTGGTTAACTTACCAAAAGGTTCAATTTATAGTTAAAATGAACCAAAATATAACAAGAAAATTAACTACTCTTTACCAATTTTATTGGTTAAAATTTAAAGTTAATATAACGTTATATAACTTTTAAAATAACTTACTTATTAACTAAGGTAAATTAAGGTTATTTTAAAAGTTACAATAATTGTAAAAATTAACCATTTATTTAACTTTGTATTGTTTTAAAGTTAAATTATAGTAAAAAAATAACTTTTAAATTAACTCTTAAGTAATAGCAACTAGTTGGTTAATTTAAAGGTTTTTTTTAGTTTATAATAACCGTAAAAAAACTAATTGGATAATTCAACTAATTGGTTAAAAACCCAAGTTAAAAAAACGTTATTTAACTTAGATTTCGGTTAATTTACTTATAAAACTAGTTATTTAACCGTTTGTGCTACAGGGGTTTTGATTTAGCCGGCAGTAAACTAGATTTAACTGATAAAGCATTAAAAATTTCGGGTTGGCACCGCCCAAAAACATTATGTTCATTCTCACTGTGAAACACTGCTTCTATATCGGATTTAAACGGTTCTTAGTCCATTTTCAAGGAATAAATCTCGGTTTACACAAAAAAATTCGACATTTTGACCGGTAATACAAATTCTTATGCGAATGGTTACTCTATTTTTTGTATAGATGTCGCTGTTTACAAACTTTTAATTCAAATCACTTTTATATAATAAGAAGCATTTATCGTAGACAAAGTATTGTAGTTGCATACTTGCGTTTATGAACTTTTTTAAACACTTATTTAATAAAACATTTGTTCGCAAGCTCTCTCGTGCCTGAATAAAATTCGTGACTAAAATGGCATTTATCCAATTTGATACATAGGTATTAAATTTTATTTTATATAATATCCTATTATCTACTCCTACATTAACAAGCTGTGACTTCATGACGCTTTAGTCATGAGCTGAATTTTAACTTAAAAAAGTTTAAAAATGTTCTATGTAAACTTGATAAATATTAGATCTGTCTGGTTAATATTGCCGTTTATTGCATTTCTATTTGTTAAAAATCTGTATCGTAATGAAAAATTTGTATCATAATGGATCTCATTATAGTACAGGTAGGAAATGTCTAATAAACAAATTGTAAGGGAGTATACTCTATAGTAAAAATATTATTTTAAAATTCAGTCCCTAATATAACAGGGGGCTCCAAATGTGCAGGTGAAGTTTTTTAACAAAAATCAATTTATTTTAATGTTTTATTAAATAAATTAAATCCTAATATTAGTAAGTTTTTATCACAAAAGGTTATTGCCAAAAAAACAATTATAAATTAAATTTGTTTCCGATGTACACTAAGATCTAAAGGCACGTCAACCTCCATTACTTCTGCAGTACCGTCCACATACGGTTTATATATACTTTTTGGTTCGGATATGAACGGATTAAAAAATCTATTCCATGTAATACTTTTATCTTCTTTCCTTAGGTTAATAATTGTCCCCAAACTTAAATAATCGTTAGTAGAATTGAGGCAGCTCGATATACAGCAAGACCGGTTACAGTTACATAATTGGGGTCTCAATATGTTTTCTTCTGTTTCCACAGGAGATGATTGTAGGCGGTCTTTATTTGTTTGTACTTCTTTCACAGGCAATTCTTGAGTTTTTTCATTATTAACGTTTTCGTTTACAAAGTGTTTGTAGGTCTTAACATGTTTCCTCAAACTGCTCGGGTCTGTGTATCGCTTCGAGCAACCAGGGACTTTGCAATAATAGGGTTTGTCCACCTGGTGGGTTCTAGAGTGTTTAAATCTATCACTGGAGTTTGAGTAGGCTTTGTTGCAACCTGGCACAGTGCATACGTAAGGTTTTTCACCGCTATGAGATCTAGAATGGATTTTGAGATTTTCTGCGCGTGAAAATGATTTTTCACATTGAGGACATTTGTGAGGTTTTTCGTTTGTATGTGTGCGAACATGAACCAACATTTTATACCTGAAATAAGAAAAAATACATTTAATACTTGTTAATACAACCATTTTTTTTTTAATTTTAGAAGAGAGTTATTACCTTGCGTTAAATCCCCTATTGTTTCTCCCACAGCCCTCCCATCCGCAGTAGAAAAGACCTCCAGGTCCTCCAACTGCATGCACTTTGGTAACGTGTGTTGCCAACTGATCCAGAGTTAAAAACGATATACCGCAGTTCTTCCAGCGGCATTGCACATCTGATTTGTCTTGGTTTTGGATTTGTTTTGAGGATATTTCCACGCTTGATATAGAATTATCACTGTCGCTCTATAAAATAATAATTAGGTATTAATACTTATTTAGTTATATTTTCCAAAAAACTATTACCTGTGTACTAATTGGTGAAGGTGGAAACATTAGTTCTTCCGAAATGTCCATTGAGCTTTTGTAGTAGGGATCGAAATGTTGAAAATACGAATACTGTGGTGAAGGTGGTAAATCCTCTTGATAATGTTGGTACTGTAAGTACCCTCCGACCATAAACCTATGATCAGGAATATACGCACTCTGATATGTGTTTAAATAAAGCACCGGCAAAATTTACAGTTAAATAAATTATAACATTGCTCCTCCAACTTTATATAACTTTATAAATTAACAAGCGATATAAATATATTTGGTATCTTTGTTCCTCTCATTAATTAAATTGAACAAGTCAAAACAATTATTGTCGCAATTAATATGAGCTTAGTTTAAGTAGAAATGAAATGTTCTTTGTTATCACTGTATAAAGTTGTCTGTCTTTCTCTTTCGCGATTGCTGGGGGGCAAAGTAGAATTTTGAGCGCTGGTGGAGGAAAATCATATTAATGTCATTCCGAACTGGTAAAATCTGGATATCGAACAACATAGTCATGAGGGGTCCGATAAATATGGCAGCGTATTATCATCTAGCGACCTATTAACCAGACTTAACTGGAAAACGAGACATAATTAACTTGTTATCAATAAATGTATTGCTTATTAATAGAGAACGGATCTTTAGGCACTGAAGAATTGTAAAATAACACAAGCACAAAAAAAGGCGAAAAGGTACTAAAAGACAATATTTAAAAAGAAACTCAGTTATTCTAATAAACATAAAAAAATAAAAAAAATAGTTTTAACACAACATAAATAATTTAAATTAATATAATAAACTAATGTAACGAACTATCAATGCATTTTTGATGGTTTTGTTGCTTAATTTGCCATTAAAATAGCAAACACTCATTTTTGCATTTTTTTGTTAAATTATTTTTGTTACAAGTAGGTACGAAGTTTTTTAGGACGAATCATTGTTGAATAGCATTTGGGAGCGTATAACAAAAAAATATTTTTGTAAGAGGAAAAGGAACTTCGGCGCCATTTTTTCTGAAACACGGACTAGACCAGGTGTGGTATTGCACCATAGCTCCGCTTACAAAGCAAACCTTTGCAAAGGTCTGGTATTTAAATGTATGATCAGACATTTTAGTCATTTAGTTGAAAAAGGTAAAAGGCAAAAAGGCATATATGATGTTGGTTTAAATTGCACTAGAACTGTCTAAAACACAGAATTTTTAACGGTCCATCTATACTGACGTTGGGCATTTTGCCTAAAATCCGGTCTTTACTTACATATATAAATGAGGAGTGATTTTTCAAAAGGTCGTATTTCCATTTGCAACAATTTTTCAAAAAAATGACTATAACCTGTATACTATACAGTGTATAGGTTAGGGCAATATAGATTATTTAAAAAAAAATCTGATGAATATTTAATAATACTTCAGACCTGCTGTCATATTTCGCCGTTAATATATGCCTTTTAGCCATTTTGTCAAAAAATTACATTCAAGTAAAAATTGAAATAAGGCCTTTTGAAAAATCACTCCTCAAATAAATAAATAAATATGTATATAATAATTAATTTTAATTTTTGTAGGTATCATGAATTAAAACTAATTTTGGATTGGGACCTGTTGAGGTTTGAGAAAATATTCCTTATAAAACCAAACTAATTCTTATATTAAGTTTATATAAATCTAAATTGCATTATCCTTATAGGTACCAGGGTGATTCTAAAAAATGGAATATTTTTTTTTACTTCCGGACTGAAAAATTGGTTCTTAATATTAATAGGAAGATCCTCCTCATCACAGATTTACATTTTTTCTTTATTCCCTTATAAAAAGGATCATATTTCATTATTTAATCGTTTTATCAAATCTTTATACATATTTTTGTAGGAAATTAAATGCTCTACATTACTCTAACCATTGAGAAGATTGAGTAATCAATTAAACAGACCTTTGTATAGAGACCTTTTTGTAGAGCGTTCAATTTACAAGTAAAATATGTCAAAAAAATAATAATAATTTTTCAAACTTTCATCTTGAATATCTTTTAAATGATTCAATTTCCTACAAAAATATGTATATGTAAGATTTGATTAAACGATTGACTAATAATGAAATATGGTCTTTTTATAAGGAAATCAAGAAAAATGGAACACTGTGATCTGGATCTTAATATTAATATTAAGAGCTCAAAATTGGGAACCACTTTCTAGATGTGCCTAAGAATCAATTCTTTAGTGTATACACTTCCTATAGGAAATAAAAATAACCATATAATATTCATGTACAATACGGTATATGGTTTTAATAATGTATAATACTGCCCTACTATGGAGAAAGGCAGTAACTGCTAAACAAGAAATTTGTGGGAAATTAGCATAAACTATAGTTATAGTATACATTTTTATAAACAGCATTTTATGGATTTTTTTAACTTATGAGATAGGTGACTGCATTTCTGTGTTGAATTCGGTTACAAAATGTCCATAGCTTTCCAATAGCACAAGAAAACGCATTTTGCATTTTTTTTTTGTAGTTACTGCCTTTCTCCATAGTAGGGCAGAATACCACACGAGGGGTTTTAAATTTAGAGAGCAAAGTTAAATTAACTAAAGAAAATAATATTAATAATATTTTTGTAGGCTTTACATATAATATATACTAGGGTGTGCCAAAAAAACTCGATATTTTTTTTTTCTTGCTCTCCACCCAAAATATCGTAGAATATGTCCGAACAAATATTCTGTTAAAAGCGGAGCTCATAATTTCAATTTTAAGAGGTCCTTCATCGAATCTGAAGTTTTGCCGTTTAAATAACATAGAAAACTGACTTTTTTACCTTATCTATTCTTGCAACCTAGGAAGAAATTTTTTGTTCATAAAATCCATGACCAAATCTTACAAAGCATTATATTTGGACGACTATTTCCCTCGTCTTAATTTCGACCAATCACAAACGCGCAATTTTGAATTACAAATGGTTTCTAGGTGAAAAAACTGTATGACAGCACCTGTCAGCAGTTTTTTCGAGTTTACCCGCGGCAAAACTTGACAGCTGTTGTCAACAAAAATTGCAATTTATATTTTAATTGTTTACTGTTACTGATTCTTTTCGGAAAAATTAAATGCCCTTATGATATTACTTACGAAAAAATCTTATTAAACCGAATTTCTATTTTCATTATTTGATTTTTTACAGACCTTTAATAATACAAAAATGATGACTTTATACGCCTGTAACTTTTAGAATATTGACGATACAAAAAATTCGCCTAAAACTTTTTTGTGGTCCATCAGACAAGCTAAAAAATTGCCATTTGACTTTTTCGTCTAACTTCAATAGTTTAGCTGAAAAAGGCAAAAAACGTAAAATTTTAAATTTAAAGCTTGTAAAAAATCAAATAATGAAAATAGAAATTCGGCTTCATAAGATTTTTTCGTCCAAATTTAATGCTTGTAAGATTTGGTCATGGATTTTATGAACAAAAAATTTCTTTCTAGGTTGCAAGAATAAATAAGGTAAAAAAGTCAGTTTTCTGTGCTATTTAAGCGGCAAAACTTCAGATTCGATAAAGGACCTCTTAAAATTTTTAACAGGATATTTGTTCGGGTATATTCTACGATATTTTGGGTGGAGAGCAAGAAAAAAAATATCGAGTTTTTTTGGCACACCCTAATATATACATATCGGTAAGCCTGAAACAAAAAATGGCGAATGCTCCGGGTTACTGGGTTAAACAAATCTTATTGAAATAAATACCTATTTTATGTAAAAATGTTTAATTTAAATAATATACGGAGTGTTGCGAACATGGCTTTGCATTGTAAATTTGTTTAAACACTTTTACAATTGTATAACTAAGATTCACTTTGAGTGAAAACTACATGTAGTTGTAAATTGCAATTTTTTATAATTTAGTTATTTTTATATAATAAAAATCCTCATGCAGAATATATGATTATTTTTAATTAAATGCCAAAGAAAAATTTGAATTAGATCGGGTTTTTCAATGAATTCTTTATTTCGATAGAATAAAGTGGTTGGCCTATTCGCTGTTCCGTTTCCTTTTGCTTTTACGCTTGTAAGATTTTTTTCTTACAGTTTAGAAGTCTATTTGTTCCAACCCTGCAGGGTTATCATGATAACTCCGCTCCATCAAAGAAGTTTCTTGGTGAGATCTTTTACCGCACGCAAAAAAGAAAACAAGAAAACTTAATTTGGAATTTAGCATTTATTACAGTTTTGGGTAGCAAGTGATCGCTTCGAACTCAAAACTGCAAAATTTACACTATTTCCATGATAGTGCAAGTATTACAGTTTTAAGTCATGTATATTGTATCTTCAAATCATAAATATATTTTAAAACTTAAAGACTGGATTTAAGTTTTAAAATATATAATTATAATTTTTCGCACAAGACTCTGGAACAGGGGTTAGAGAAATAAAAATTACAGTTTTATTTAGTAAGTTGTACTGAAATTTGCTTGAATGTTGATTTTTTAACCCTTTATTAAGATTATGTGGAGGAAATTTTACAGTTTTAGATAGGTAGCAAAATTGAATAATCATGAAACTGGGTGTGCAAAGTTACCCCCTGGTTGCGGGTTACTTTGTCTCACAGTGTTTTTTCAGTATAAAATGAATGTAATATTATATTTTATTTTTATTAGACACGTGTTAGCAGCGACATATATCTATTGCAAGGGATTACCAATAAAAAAATAAAAAATCGACCTGTAGTTAACCAAGGATCATCATTCCAATGGATTGCTCATAATATAGAAATTGTAACGCGTGTATTTCTAAGAGTTTTGCACTGATACGATATATACAATTTTAAAGTGTAATAAATCCCATTTATTTCTTTAAAACACTGATTTTCCTGTAATATAAACTCAATAGAATCGCTCAATTGACAGGTTTAGACCAACAAATTATAAATGTTAATTTTATCGAGCGCGAAAAGATTTTTCATAAATGGGTTAAAGTCACCCGCGGGGTGCAAAGTCACCCGTATTTACGGTAGCAAAATTGAATAATCATGAAATGCAAAATTTATTTGTTTTATAATATAAAATATATTTTTAAATTAAATAAATGATATTTAATGTCAAATATATTAAATTTGATAGTATATGGGGCATTCCACGGTACTCGAATTCGTTGCTATTATTTTTGGCAT